TATATATATATATATATATATATATATATATATATATATATATATATATATGTATATATATGTATATGTACATATATATATGTATATATATGTATATGTACATATATATATGTATATATATGTATATGTACATATATATATGTATACATATATATATATATTTATATAATTTCATATGCTTAAAAGCATTAAAAAAATTATAACAATTATAACAAACTCTTGGCTTTCTGAATATTTAATAATGTATCATAGTACTGTTTTTTAAATGTAACCAGTTCTGTAATAGATGCAGTTTGCTGTAATGTGTTTAAACTTTTTTGTTTTGTTTGCTTCAGTGCAGATCTGTACATAAATAATTTTGTTAAGTAAATTTGCTGATTATAAAAGATATTAAATAGAGCAACTTTAATGGTACTTGTATAATAAATTTTCTATGTAGTTCTTTTTTTCACATTCTACTGTTTTTGTTTCATTAACTACATTATTTATTTTATGAAGCAGTTTTAATTGATCTGATTTTGGATAAATATGAAATGATTCTGAGGATTTTTTTTTAATATTTTTTTTTGTATCCTCTAGTACATTTATATTTCTATAATTATTTATGTTATTGCTCAAAATATCTAACTGATTATTGTTTTCCAGGTTTTCTTGATTTAAAAACTTGCAAAAATTGGATATAGAAGGAATAACATACAAAGGTTTGGTCTGAGGCAATATTGGAAATTCTGTATATGTAAAAAATGTTTATAATATTTGTATACATTGAATTGAAATATGTTAATAATTAATAAATATAAAAATAATTTTACCAATTGAAGTTTCCTGTTCTACACGTTTTAAAAAATTCTGCAAGCTTGTTTTAAGCTTTTTGTGTGCTCTAAAGTTATCCATTAAAAAATTGTCTTCTTTTAATGTCTGTAATATTGTTTATAAAAATTGTTACGAACTATTAAAATAATTATTACAAATATGAATTTTCTTTACCTGTATATTTATTATTGTATCTTTAATTTTTTCTTCACTATATACAATATCCATTTTATATATATCTTCCTGAATTGCTTGTTCATCTTTTAATTCTTGTTTAAAGTGATTTTGTATTTCCATATTACAAAATCTATTCTTATTTAATTTATTATATTTTTTTATATTTTTTGTATCATTCTCTGTGTTTTCTGTATGTAAAATTTTGTAATTTGTTCCTGTTTCTACATATCTATTATCATATGTTTCTAAATTTGAGATTTTATTTTTATTCTGTTTATTTGAAACTATATTATTTTTATATAATTTTTTTAAACATGAAGTATCCTGTAATATGATTTTTTTAGTTTTTATTTTTGGATAACAAAATTAATAATATTTCTAAATACAATATTATATTATATATTTGTGATATAAATATAACATTGTATATATATTATATATATATATATATATATATATATATGTATGTGTATATATATATATATTTATATATATGTAATTTACTATAGTAAAGTAATTGTCATAAACCTGATGTAATGCATGAGACACATTAGTTACATTACATTGATTCCAATTATTAAACTGATCAATAGACAATTGAAAATATTTATCATCCATTGATTTAAAAAATTCTTGATAGTCAGATGTAGAATTTTGATAAAGATTACTTTCATATAGAAGATGAGGAGTATGACTCCATTTTAATTTTGATTGAAGTTTTATTTCTTCTTCTTGTTCATTAATATTTGATGAAAGATTTTGTTTACTAGTAATATGAGATTTTATACATGGAATATTATAATTTAATGTATCATACATATAATTCACATGATTATGAATTGTTGAAATCTCATTAGGAGGAAAACCTTTGAATACTTCAGGAACTGAAGACATAAACTTTTCATTTAATTCAAAATTTTGAGATGTATCAATCAAAATATTTTGATTTAAATGGATTTCTGAGTTTTTGTCCAATATTTCTATATTAGGTTCTTTAGAAATTGTAGTAACTCTTAAAAGAAAGAAAATTATTATTATATTCTATCAAAAATATCAAGAAATAGTTTAATGAAAATCATACTTTTGATATGAAGATTTGGTATTAGATGTTTTATTTAGTTCAGTAATTTCATATATTAGATTTTTTATTTTATCATTTGATACACCTTTTGGTAATGGTATTATAGAAATTATTTGTTGTTGTATATTACTATCCAAATTTTCGGATAAAATCAGTAGAGCTTTTAATACACGTTCATATGCAATTATACCATCATCAGGATGATACATATTTAGAAATTGATTTATTGCATTAATAATGTTTGTATCCTTTAAATTTTGTTGTAAAGCAATCCATGGAAACGTAGAGGTATTATTTACTGTAATATTCTTATTTTCCATAACTGCTAAAATAAAAAATTAATTGTTTAGTTAGCTAATTCAAAAGTTTTAGCGCGTTTTCGATTTAGTTTATGTCATTTCTCTATTGTATATATATATAATATATATATATATATATATATTATATATATATTATATATATAATGTATATATATATATAATATATGTATATAAAATATATTTATTATTCAAATATTACATTTTAAATAAAAAAAAAAATTTCTTTCTACTTACTATCAGAAGAAACTTCTATTTCCATTTCAATATAAATGTCTTTCTATAAAGTGACAGCTTTCTTTGATATTAATACAATTAATTGGTAATTACCAAATAATGAAAACAGCTGCTTTGATATATTATTGTCAACAAATGAATAACATGTTTCTCGCAAGTTCGTTTACAAGTCGATTGAAATCGGATTATAATTTAGAAAGAAAAGCCAATCTGTGTTTTTATATTCAATAAATAAAAAATAATAAAATAATTATTTTGTGTTTAATATAATAAATAATTAAAAAAAATTGATTATAATAAAGCCAATAAAATTAATAAATGTAAAATTAAAATTAAAATAAATTTCTATATTTTATATTATTTTATTTTCTATTTAATTTTTATATGAATTTATTCTTTTTTTTTCAATAAATTTAAATATTTCTTTCATAAAAATATTTAACTATTTAAATACAATTATTTAATATGATAAAAAATGATAACACAAATATAAAATAAAAAGGAAATTATTTTATTAAATAGTATAGAAGAATTGTATTGATAATTATGAAACAAGTGTATGTTCTGTATGTTATGGATTATTTTATAATGAGAATATTAATTCTATGCTAATAATCTTAAGAGCTTTGCAAGTATTATTATCTGACCATTGCTATAAAAGCGATAACTGAATATAGTTAAATAATAAATTGGTACAAAATGATTTTGCCAAAAGATCTGATACTTTTTTCTTCTTTGATAGTTTTAAGAATTAGTGCAGCTTTCAAAATTCCTACAGAATCACCATGGATAAACATAGCTCCAAAACCTGGTAATATAAATTATTTAATTTTGAAAATAATTTTAATAAAATAATTTTAAAATTATAATTTCTAATATTAGATTAAAATTTTAATATTTTATATTATTTTATTCATATTTTATATTATTTTCATATGAAAATATGTTTCTAGTTTATGCAAGAGCTCTTGGACCAATATCAGAAATGGATACTATAACAGTACCTTATATGTCAAAGTCTCCTTTTTTTCCAAAATTTGTTGATCCTAAAATGATGATTTCAAAGAAAACAGATTTATTGACCAATTTATTTGGTTTAGGATCTGCTTATCCTATGAGTTTTAAATCATTTATACCATATGCTACAAGTGGATCATCTATATATAATACAGCTGATAAACCACAATTATTAGTTAAAAATAATATAGATGATGATACTCATCCATATAAACGTGGAATTTTTAATCCCTTTAATTCTAAATCTTTTGATTCTAAGTTTGGATCTGTATCTCAATTCTCAAGCTTAAATACTGTACCTGACTATAATAGGAAGAATGATTTTTCACATAAAAAAAGAAGTATAGATAAGTCTTCTGTAGCAAATCTTAAATCAATTATGAATAATAATAAATCAGAGACAAAAGATTTGGAGTTTCCATCTCTTTATCCCACTCTTGCTCCAATTTTTGAAGAACCAAAAGAAGATATAAACATAAAAAAGATAGGAAGTGCAACATTACCGAAACAATATTTGTCAGGAATGTTTGAACCATATGATCTAATAGGGACATTTGGTCCTATGATAGATCCATCTACATTCATAATAAAAAAATCTGCTTTCTTAGATAATTTGTTTAAAAATATTGCTATTACTACATCACCACTAATTTCAAGCGAAGCTTCAACAACAAAAAATACCATTGTACCTTCAGATTTTTGGCTACCATCATCAGGAATTCCAAATCCAATAGTATATAATGAAAAAGTAACAGAATTCTTAAATAGGTTGTTTGAAAATTTAAAATTAAATAAAACTATGACATTCAATGATGACAATATGAATGTTAAAAATATGGCAAGATCTATTATATCTGATGCAGATAATACACAAGTAAAAATAGCAAAATCTGTTGAAGATTTCTCATCGATTAATGCCGCTAAAGATTATATTGTTAATAGCATATTATCTGAATTGAGTGATTTAAAAAGTAATATGATAACAACAATGAATGATTTAATCTCTTATGAAAAATCTGTAACATCATTGTCACCAACAAAATCCTTCAAATCATTTGATCCTAGTTTATGGTCAAAATCATTAGTTAATGGAGTATTTCCTTTCCAGCAAAAAATGGCTATTTTGAGTCAAGTATTTGATATGCTAACAAATTTACAAAAAAATATTACTTTGGAAATTCAAAATATAATAAAAACTAAAATGGTATCTCCTGAAAGAGTTTTTAATGCTAATTATCCAATAATTAATGATGTTTTTTCTAGTGGTATGCCTATTAACATGAGTTTATTGGATGCTATTAAATATAAATTAGATACATTAGATTATGGCATGCCTGTTTCATATATTCCAAGTTTTGATAAATTTGGATCAAAAATGATGCGACCATTGTTAAAAAATCCACCATTTTGGATTTCTTATCCTAAAAATGTAGCAAATATAAAACAAGAAGTTAAAAGTGACATTGAATCTTTAATGAACGAAGAAAATAATTTCAATCAAAAACAAACACGTTCAATTAAGATGCACCAAGGATATCAAAGTTTGCCAATTGGTTCTATAGAATCAATACAAAGAGATGGAGGATCTACATCTGAACATCAGAACGGAGAAATCAAATTATCTGTAAGTACTTAAATAGAAATAGTTTTGTAAAAAAAACTTTAAAAATCTAATATATTTTGAATCTATATTTTGTATACTGTAAATAATGAAATATATACAACTATAATAATTAATGATAATTTGTGATATTAAAAAAAATTATAAATATATTTGTATCATTGTAAATAATAAAATATTTTATATATATGCATGATTTCATTTTTTTTCAGATATAAATGCCTGCATTGCCTAACATGCAAATGCAGGATTTCCAAAATAATAATTATGAATATCAATACATGTAATTTGTATACTATGAATATAATGAACATGTTCGTATGTTGTAGGATATCAACAATTATGAGGACATAGATAAATGGGCCAATTGGATGAAATATCTGAAAAATAAATATCGAGGACATCAGCATCACAATCATCATTAATTGATCTAGTAGGAATATTTTTATTATCTGTTACAATTAATCTCTTTTCTTTTAATTAATCATTTTTTTCACATATAATTACTATATATAACGTGTATATTTGATATCTTTTAATAAAGTATGTTTTGCAAAATATATATTGAACTATCTATTGAAAAAAAATATTTTTTATTAGATTTTATATTATTGTTTATAATATATGTCATATGTATATAATATATATAATATGGCATATATATAATATGTATATAATATGGCAACAGTACATAGTAATTATCAACGCACATGGACGCAATCCTGCATCAAGTGCGTTGCTTTGTTTCTCTATAATCAGCAATGCATTGTAAGCAGGATAGTGTTAGTGTGTTAGGAAACACCAATAATATTAATATGATATGATTGAATGAAGAAATGAGGGATATTTTATACTTGTATTCAATTTAATTTTTGTATTAACTACATTTTTATCTATTTTTTATATATTTTTTATATAAAATTATGAAAATGGCAGTAGTGGTAAGTTGATATTGAATATTTAATTTATTTTTCTTTGATAAAAATTTGTTTGAAGTTAGAAAAAATGAATTATTGCACACATTTTTTTTGTTTTATCTTATTTCAATTTTTGTTATATTGATTATATATTATCTTATATCAAAAAAAATTTTATCTTTTTATCATCTGCCTTTTGTCACTTTGGATATAAGATGTTCCATTTGCTGGTCAATTCTAAATACCATATAGAAAGATGCTAGCACACTGCTTAAAGTTACCAATAATCCCAAGCCTTCAAATATTAATTTCGGTGCAAAGATCTTCCAAACCATTAAATGTCGACAATGAATCGTTGTAGCAAGCATGCTGCTGAACGTCTATAATATGTAATTTTTACATACATTTTAGAAATTTAATTAATAATAAAATTATATAAAATATAATAAAAAAAAATATATATATATATATATATGTTTATTAAAGATAGTTTTTAAATTTTAATTAATTTTTTTATATATTTATATTTATTTTATAATTGTTATAATATTAATAGATTTAAAATGTTAAAAATATTACTTACTCTGATTGCATGAAGAAGTATATATTTTCCTGCAACCGAGAAGATAGCAGCATGAAACACAGAATCTTGTTCAAATAAAAGTAATTCTCCTCTTTTCATATCATTTTCCGAAAATTTTGTTTTAGCTAAGTTCGGAAACACAAGATAGAAAGTAAATGGTACAATAACTAATAATGGCAATGTTGCACCTAATATAATATGTGATCCAAATGTATTTATTCCTGTAATATTATTTATAGAAGTTATTATATTTTTGTAAGTAATTTTAAAATAATTAAACAAAAATGTTATACCTATCAAAATTGCTGCAAATAAAGTTCCATAAAAATGTCCACCTGTTCCAACAAATGCAGCATCCCAATGAATAGTGGGAAAAGTTGGTTGATGCCCAGTTCCATAAAAAAAATATTCTGCTATTAAGAACCAACACAATAGTATAGGAATAGGTACTTCTACTAGTTCAGCTGTTTTTAAAATTATAATATTAAGAATAAATAAATATTATATAATAATATATAAATTAAATTATTTATTGTACATATTAAAGTACTTACATATATTATTAGCATTTCTATGTCTTTCTATTGCCAATAAGCCCAAAACAGAGGCACAACATATAAACATTAAAAAGGTACTAGGTGATAATATATCTCCTAATAATAAAGAATATAACAACATAAGAAATACACTTAATGAGATAAATGTGGCACTATATGCAGTACTCAAACCATAAACAACTGGTGTTTGAGTTATTTCTACATTTTTGCAATAAATTGATTCCTTTATTTTCTTAAATAATCGTGGTACTATATTTTCATTATGATATATATTAATTGATTCCTTTTTGTTTGGTAATAGAAATATACTGAGTGGACGATAATACAGTATAAAAATTGCAAACAGACTTAATACATATATTATGTTAGGCAACATACTTATTTGCCAAGACAATGTAAATTTTATTTTAAGAAATTTTGGTAATCTTTGAAGAATCCAGAAACAACCCATACAAATACCAATTATAACAGGACAGTATTGTCCTACCAAAACACTGGGAGAAAAACCAGAAAGATTTCCACAATTTTTTAACCATAATCTTATTATTGTAATATATAATGCAAGTATAATTAAGGTGATAACAAATAAATTGTCTGATGTTATAGAACCT